ACTGATTTTTTTGTTAATTTTATAACATACAATTTTGCTAGTTCTAAAAGGTTTTTGTAGAACCAATATGTATATGTCTAAGATCATGTTAGACAATTCCTAATTTTCTCAGTGCATTTAGCATGAAAAGATACTGAATTTTTTCAGGTGTTTTTTTTTTCAAGTGTATTTGTTAAGATACTCATGTGATTTTTTTTTTAAACCATTTGTATCACTTTGGCTGACTTCTATATATTGAACTATTCTTCCATTTTAAAGATAATTTCCTTCTGGTTTTGGTGAATGTTCCTTTAATGTACTATTGATTTCAGTTTGCTAAGTTTTTGGTTAGGATTTTTGTATTTGTGTTTATTGGGGTCATTAGCTAGTAACTTTCTTCTATTTTTTTTTTTCTGGCTTTGGTGATGGGTCATGCTGTCCTCATGAGTTTAGAGGTGCTCCCTCCTCTGGGTTGGCATTAATTCTTTAACTATTTCTAGAATTCCATGACAAAGCCATCTGGTCCTAGCCTTATTTTTCTTCAGAAGGATTTCATTGTTCATTCAGTCACCTTCCTAGTTACAGATCTGTTCAGATTTTCTATTTCTCCATGATTCAATCTTGATCAGTTTTATTTTTCTAGTAATTTATGCATTTCTTCTAAGTTACTCATTTTGTTGGTGTGTAACTGTAATTTTTTATAACCTTTTTCTTTCTGTAGGATCATTTGCAGTGTCTCTTTTACTTTTGATTTTCAGTATTCTTTTTCTGTCTAGCTAAAAATCAATTTTCTTGAAAAAACAGATTCTTAGTTCACTTTTTTTTCTATTTTCAATTCTCTTTTATTTATTTATACTCTAATCTTCACTTTTCCTTACCTGCTAACTTTGGTATTAGTTTGTTCCTTGTTTTCTAGTTATGTTAGGTTTAAAAATTAAGTTGTTTGAGATCATTCTTTTTTAATGTACATGTGTATTTATAAATGTAAGTTTTTGTATGTAGAGTGTCCATTTTTCATTTGTCTTGATATTTTCCAATTTTTATTTTGATTTCTTCTTTGATCTACTGGTAGTTGAAGAATACATTGTTTAAATTCCATATATTTGTGGAATCTGCACTTTTCCTTCTTTTATTTTCACTCCCTTGCATTTGTTAAATATTACTGCTGTGATTTCAATTGTCCAACACATGTTAGGCAGGTGCAGTGCCACTGAGCTAAATCCCTGGCCTATCCAACATA